CCCCCATAATAAATGCACCTATTCTTGATGCAGACAGACATTTGGGGGCTTGTTGAGCAGCTCGTGTACTCCACTAATTTGACTTGGACACGTGATGTATTCATTTCTGAGCGGACAAGCCTAAATAAAGCCAGATCACGGTGATAATTATGGCGCTGGGGTGTCCCAGCTTGCACACACACACTTCGTCATCACATGGACATGCAGACTGTTAAAAGGCCAAACTGTAGGCAGCTCACGTGTCTGCGAGGGGGCACCAGTGGTATCAGCTGGTCCCGTATTGATCCTGCACTGATCGGGCTGCGAGCTGCGATCCCACAGAGCCCAGATAAAAGTCAGAGCTTTAATTTTCCTCAGTGTCTTTTATTATTTATAATTATTTGTGAATACATAACATTTGAAGTCATGTTTGATGAAGTGAACCTTTATGGAGTCTTTCAAACAAAACCGTTGTTGTTAGTTGATAGACACAATCAAAGTGAAGTGGTTTTAATAAATAAGCTGATGAGAAACACTAAGAAAACAAATAATGATTTCCATTATGTGACTAAGAGATATATATATTTTTTGTAGATGTGAGTAATTCCTTAGAAACTTCCTTAGAGAAATTCTCCTTTGTGTATTTTGGGTGACACTGTTAGTGTGGTATGCTTGGCAGTGGTGGTTTTGGAAGAAAAATGCACTTCATGCTAATAGAAGTACACGCTCATTAGGCATTTTAAGTCAGTCAAAAAATATTATGACAGTTAAAAACTTATTTATTTTTCCCTTTTTATGTCAGGGGCCCAGACTTGATGATATTTGCCTTTATTTATGCATGATTTTCTTCATAATTGTGATGGCGAAGTACCACTAAAAAAACAATCTTGTAAAGTAAAGTTAACATGTGCGATGACATTTGTAAACAAAGAGTGAATAAAGCTGCTGGAACTGAGCAGCATCACGTCTCACACTTCAAACAGTCCTCACTCCCGGCGCGCAATAATGAAGGAGAGGGTTGCAGGCTGCAGGATGAACATGGATTCTTGGTCCTCGCTAGATGCAGTGTATCACCGTGAGGAAAAGGCACCAGCAGAGCAGCTTAGTGTGCCTTTAATGACTGGCTGGCTTGTGTGGTATTGGTGACTGATTTAACCCGGGTGGGAAACGACCTTGTGAGCTAAAGCTTCTGGGAACGACTGCATCCTGGAGTGCGAGAGAGAAGGGGGGACTGGGAGTTAAGCACATTAACAAGGGAACAGCTCCACCTACGCTCGCACAGAGCAAACGGTTGGAAAGTAAACAAACTACTTCATCTGTGGTGCAAGGTTTCAGCTCCTTTTACTGATAGAAAACTGCTGATTACATTGATTTTTAGTCCAATTGTCCCTCCGTGCCCCACCGTGTTCACTCTGCGTCTCTGTCTGTGTTTGTGTTTCAGTGGGAAGCCGGCCAGTAATCTCACCCCTTAATGATGCAAAGGTGAGGAACAAAACTTTATTTTTGAATTTCATCCATCAGTCTGCTGCTTTTTAATTACTCAACTGTAAAATATGTGTGTGTGTGTGTGTGTGTGTGTGTGTATTGTACCATTAGGTTGAATGTATTATTCAGGAGACACTGAATGAAGATGGGTCACCGCACGATTGTGGCCCACAGCTAGCAGGTAGGTAACCAATTAGCTGTTCTTAAGAGATCAGATGGTGTCATGCAGGGTTTGGTGTGTGCGGTTTGATTGCACGGTGATTAGGCTCGCTTGTGTCTAATTGTTTTTTGCAGATGAACTTGATGAGGTGCACAGGCATCAGGGTCTTCTCAGGGAGCTGCAGAAACTGGCTGATGATGGTACACATAAATTCACACTGCCTCAGTCTGATGTTGTTTTTAAGATATTAAAAAAAACAACTAAAAAAAACCCATAAAACATGGGCACTTATATTTGTTGTCTTTTTTTATGTCACACTGACTGTTTCCATTTTTCAGAGAGAGATAAGGAGCATGATGATGAACGGCAGCGGTACGAGTACAATCTGGCCAATGATGAGAAGGATGAGAATGACTTCGAGGAGACGGGCGAGGACGAGAGAGATCTGAGCAACCTTGCAAAGGAAACAGAGGGAGAGGAAGAAGACAAAACAGAGGATGATGACACCAAGGAGAAGGTGATGGAGGAGCCGCGCATTGAAGACAGAGAGAGGGATGACGAGGAGGAACGAGCCAAGGAGCTCGAGGAGCTGCTTGCCGAAGAGCTCGCCAAGAAAGGCAAGGAGGAGAGAAATGACGAAGAGCTCAAAGAGCTGCTGAAGGAGCTTAAAAAGAAGAGGTATGAGGCGGTGAAGGAGAGGGAGATCCAGAAAGGCGCTGGGACGGAGCACAAGGACAAGGTGGAGGACAAGAAGAAGGAGCAGCAGGACAAAGAAAAGAAGGAGGAAATGGTGGAGGACTTGGAGAAGCAGAGGCTCGAGGAGAGGAGGAAGAATGAGGTGGAACTGATGGTGGAGAAAGAGAAGGTGGAAAAAGAGTTGAAGGAGCTGCTCAAGGAGCAGGACAGCAAGGGCAAGCCAGAGCAGGAGAGGGAGAGAAAGGAGAAGCAAGAGGAGCTGGATGAACTCGTCAGGAAGATGAAACGGGTGCAGGAGGAGGAACAGCAGGAGGTGCAGGGCAGGGAGAAAGAGGAAGACGAGGATCAAAAGACGGGGGAAGAGAAGAAGGAGGACAGTGAGAAGAAGAAGGAGGAGGGCGAGGAAGGAGACAAAGAGCCCGACTCTGAGAAAACAGAGACTGGATTTAAGAAGGAAGAGGCAGCAAAGGAGGTGGAGCTGAAGGAGCCCCAGCAGAAGAGAGTAATGGAGAAAGCGAGCGATGAGGCTACACGGCAGTTTGAGCGGGAGCGGTACAAGGGTGAGGAGGAGGAGGATGGAAACGGGGAGGACGAGGAAGATGAGGATGAATATGTCAGGGAGGACGAGGAGGGGCAGCAGGAGGAGGAAGACAATGAGGGTGAAGAGGAGGATGAAGAAGATGAAGGAGAAGTAAGTTAGAACAATTAATGGGTACATTCAGGCTTAACTGCAGATTACAGTGTAATTATACTGTAGTTACTTGGTAGTTATTGGAACCCATAGAATCATGATATCATCCTTGGTGATGTAGTATTGTTAAAGGGACACCAAATAACGACATTTTATTAAATAAATTAAAATTCTCTGGGAATACCAGAACCAAAAGGGGTCATGTGACCTGGCAACCTTGATAATCTCATTTTTAATCACATAAATAAATAAATAAATAACTGAAGTAAGATAACTTTTTTAATTGGCTAAAACAAATACTGACAAAGTTTAAATCTGAGGACATTACATGCGGTTAAAAAAAGGTGATAAATCACAAAGTATGTTACTGTAATATTCAGTATATCGCAAAGTAAAAGATTTTACACTTTCAAAATCACACATGAAGCATTAAGACCAAAACGTCCGAGTGAAATGCAACTGAAATATATAAAATTAGTGGTTCATTTATTCAAACAATTAATCATTAAGGTAAATATGCTTGGTATATAGTCAGTGTATACCAATCAAGTCAATTTAATTTGACCAGACTCCATTAAATGGAACATTTATTATTGCATGTTTTTTTTTTTTGTTTTGTTTTTTTTGGGGGGGGGTCTCTTGTTACATTGACAGTGGTTTGGGATAGTTGAAAAATATGCTTTCTCTTAGCTTGTCTGTTCAAATGACAAATGCACTGATTCCAGGCTTGTGCAACTGTTTTTTAATCTGCAGGAGCTGCTGGAGATTGAAGCAGAGCTGCGCAAAGTGGCTGCAGAGCTGAGGGAACTTCGCAGAGGATAAGATACCCATAACCCACACGCACAGCAGAATGACAAAACCACTTTGTTGCATTCACAGTCACACATTCGGCTCACACAGTTTCCATTTAACAGCCTTCAAATCCCTCCAACACTCAGAGGAATCTGTAAATGGACATTAGTGCAAAGTGTACATACTGTTGGTTCATTTCTGCTTTTAGATTGCCTGGAGGGAAAAAGAATACTCTTTTTTTCTTCTCTTTTGGTCATTTGGATGTGTTTTTGTGTTGAAGAAAAAGACGTAGTTTTCCCAGAGAATCTGAAAGCTTGTGCTCATCACCGTTGCCCCTGTCTTCTCGAGTATCTGTAAATAACGTGCGTGAGGTAGACAGGCGATAGATGCAATAGCATTTCAGCACTTTCATTCAGATGTTAGTTTGATTGCAGATTGTCAGCCATGAAGAGTCACGATCATAGCAATCAGCGCTTCTTTTACTCTGAAGGTTTCATCTTTGATGGCGTGTTCTTGTTTCAGGAAAAAAAATACAGTTTCCCTATTATAAGTAGTTAGTGTATTTTAATATACAGTATATTTTGTGCAATAACTGATAACTGTGTGTACCCTGCTGTTCCGACTGTTAACGATACTGCTGATATTTGTACCCAGGAGGAAGTCGTTATCTCCTCTTAATTTCTTTGGCGACTTAAGTAGAAATGAAGATTGTTTTTCATTTGGCGCACGCACTGTTACAGCCAGACTGTTTGCGACGAACCGGGGTGACACGAGCGAAACACACACTTGCACGTACATCACACGTTAAGTTTGTCTTTTGCCTGGTTGATCGTGTGGCAGAAGGAGAGGTGATGTACTTACAGCTTACAAGGTCTAAAAGTGTCACCTCAGGTTTCTCAGCCAGCTTTGCACTCTTATCTTAACAAGCCAAGGAGGAGCTGAAGGAAGGAGGAGAGGAAACACTAAAGCCATTTGTTGTCTTTTTGGTAACAGTGACACCGACAATAACGTCGATAAATACTAGGTAGTGTTACATCCCAGTTTTAATGGCTGTCATGTCATTTGTGTAAATGTGGTCTGTAAGCCAAGGTCATGGGAAATATGAAGCAACACCGCCCCCAAGAGGACACTGGTCAGATATGCACTTAGTGCAGGATTAACAGGGTTGCTACTGGAGGCCCACTTAGTGCAATAACACAGTATAGACTAGAGCACACGCGAATGCAATAATTAGCCAAATACTGAATTATTTAATGTATTTTAATATGTAATCAAAGTGCATCATGTGGTACTCGTATACAAATATTTCTCTTTTTTCTACAAGGCCGAGATTTACGATACGTTTATGTATTTGAACACTGGCCGAGCCGACGGTCAACTTGTGTAAACACGTGGTAATAATACACGTTATGAATCAACACTGACGATGTTATAGCAATCTATTCCAAAGAGGAGATGCTTGTTCGCTCAAAGGTTAATCAACATGAATGTACTGTAGTTCCTTTTTCTATAGAAATACAAAATGAATCTCACAAACCAGCAGGATCACTGCAGGAAACGTCTGTGGGGAGGTGACGCGCTCAGCATAGAGGACATATGACACAATATGGAAAAAAGTGATTAAAAAAGGCATTTGTAATATTACTGGCCAATCAGAGTGCTGTATTTTGTGCCTGCTGTATCTTCTTCTATGCTACCTGTCAATCAATAAACAGAAAAGTATACTCAAGTACTGTAGGTTGCCTTTTTTTTTTTTGCTTGTTTGTTGACCTTAACAGAGCCAATTAGCAGGTCAAAGTAATTAGTGTGTTTTGAAGAGGATAAAGTTCGGGATCAAGTTTTGCTTATCCTTTTGATGAAACCAATCCGTGATCAACTCCTGGGGTGACAAACACCCACTGTTTCCTCAGAGGAACCACCTGTAGTGTGCGAACCAGCAGCGGCGTGTTTGTCCAACACTGACTGGATGTGGCTGAGCAGAGAGGAGAAAAACTGAGGCATGCCCTCGTAGCCTAGCAGAGAAAAGAGCGCATCAGAAAACGACAGTGTCTTCCTGTGTGTAAGTCACTGTGTACTCCGGCACTACCTGGGAAAATGTTGATGTCGATGACGGTGAGCGCATGCGTTCCTATGTTGACGATGACGTCCACGCCAAACAGGGCCATGCCGAGCTGAGCTCGGAGCTCCTTGACGAGGGCGGCCACAGCATCTGAGCTGGGAGAAGGCGGGTCCACCATATGTTCATCCACCTTAGAATATGAGACGTGGCATTTTATGGTGGACATGAGCAGCATTTGACCTGTTGCTTTAAACTAAGTCCGAAATATTACTCACAGACGTGAGATTAGAGTTCGACTCTGGTTTGGACACCTTTTGGCTGTTGAAGAAGATGGTCTTCCTGTCTGCAGGCAGGGAGAAAGAGAAACAGTTATACAGAAAGCAAAACTAGGTGATAACAGTGGCACAAGAAAGTAAAAGTAGTAGAGAAAATGAAATGCTGGAACTCAAAAGGAAGGGACACAAAACAAAAGGAAAAGCAAGAAAGGTAAGGGCGATGCAAGTGAGTTAAAAAAAAAAAGTTAAAATATAAAGTTAAATGATAAAAGACGGGAAAGACGAAAGGAATATTGGCGGGGTGGAAACTGACCACAGGGGCCGGAGGGAAAGTTCTTGATAGAGGGTCTCTCTACGCAGCAGTGCTTGTCTCCTACCACGAACACTTTGTACAAAACGGCTCCGTGGTTCACAAAACTCTGAAGCACACAGGGGGGATGGATATCAGCCAGACTGGCTGCACTGAAGAGCAGACACATCTGCAGCATGGAGACCACATGAGATTAAGAAATGGAAACTTACAAGAATACATTTTACAGTTAGTAGTTAGTAGATATCAAGTGGGATTTTGCGAGGCAGGAAAAACCAAATCAGCTACCTCATGTGAATATGAGCCGTGTGCCACTCTGGTTTTACAAACTGAGGTGAGGAAAAGAGGAAGTGTTTGTGTGTTAGTATTTTATTTTTATAAAACTGAATTGCATGTTACCTCCAGGCTTCAGTCACACACACACATGCATGCATGCACACAAAGATAATAAGTAAGAAATGTGGAGGACAGACATTAAGTGAACTGACTGAGAGGAAATGTTAGGCCCTGTCTTATCACAGCCTGCTGAATGGATGACAGGTCACTGCCACTGTGGACCTCGAGGCATGGGGGACTGCAGATACGCCAGTCTGACAAACAAAGAAGAATGAGTAACTGTTAATATCTGCGATTGAGCTGTAAGCTGTGTTACCGTTGGGCTAAGAAGCTGCAGTCACCTCGGAGTGAACTGTTCAGTTGGCTCATTATCCGACCCGAGACAAAGCGGTCTAATAGTTTAGCCATGGCAGGCAGGGGATCCAGCAGCACTGTGTCAGGATGAGCTGAAACATAACTCTGTGGTGGGAAAGAGAGAGGAGTCACTAACTGCTCATTAATGAAAACATCCAGCTGCACCATTATTATTAACACCCGAGATTAAAAGACTACATGTAGAGGGTACTGGAGTATCCTCTGTCAGCAGCCCCAGATGAATACACAGTTTGCTGGACTTGCAACATGAATAGTTTAAATAGGTGCAGCATTACCTGAAAGTTATCAAGGAGCTGCTGTGATTGGCTATCGTGCTTAGCTTCCACAATTACGTCAGACAGCTTGTGAAGGATGATGTCAAAGGGTCCCTGAGGGCCCAGGGGCTGAGTGAGATCAATCTACAATAGAAAAAAAAATGTACAGGCTATGTTGATGGACTTCTTTTAATATAGAATTTTCTACTTTTTATTACAAGCTTCATTATCTTATTCTTTAATCCCAGTTTGGATTAGTGAGACAGACTCCCTCTCTACTTTTAGGACTAGACTTAAACTTTCCTTTTTCATGTAGTTAGGGCCGGATCGGGTGACCTTGAATCCTCCCTTTGTTACGCTGCAATACACCTAGGCTGCTAGGGGCTTCCCATGATGCACTGAGTGTTTCTTCTTCAGTCTCTATATATATTTATACACATTTATAAACTCTGTTTTTAATCATTAATTATTAAAATCTCTGTCTTCCTCCTCTCACCCCCAATTGGTCTCACAGATGGCTGCCCCTCCCTGAGACTGGATCTGCAGGAGGTATCTTCCTTTTGAAAGCGAGTTTTTTTCCCTCCCACTGCCATCAAGTGTTTGCTCACAGGTCGTCATTAGACTGTTGGGATTTTCTCTGTATTACAGTAGGGTGTTTCCCTTACAATATACAGCACCTTGAGGAAACTATTGCTGTGATTCGGTGCTATATAAATAAAAAAAATTTAATTGAACTGAACCCATTCGCACACATATCCATACCTTATAATGTTCACACACACACACTCCAATCAATGCACGAGGAGCAACTCAAGGTTCAGTATCTCGCTTGACATGCAGACTGGAGGAGCTGGGGATCAAAGCACTAACTTTACAATTACCACATGACCCACCCACTAAACCTACAGACCCTGGCACTCTCGGGCTGTCTCTAAACAACTGTGCTTATCTTTTAGGTCAAATCAGATTGGGTGTGCTCAGGGTGGTGCAGCTGTAAGCCATAATAGATGTAGCCAATCTATGCTGTAGGAGTTTAATATAGCTAAATTCTCATATTATCACTCATATTATCTTCATTTGTGCAGTCTTGAAGTGTAATAAATGTACAGTTGCAAATGGCAGTTTGTTTTAGCACATGTAGCTGATCACTGCACCAATTAAGGAGTGATCATCAAAAAATATAGAAAGTCAAATTCTCAAATGGCTGAGCAGGAAAAACACAGGTGTTACTGTTCGCATTGATAATATCCCCATTCTGTCTATAACAGTGATAAAACAAGAATAAAGCTAATTTGAATATCGCCTCCCAAAAAAGCGTGTGCTACAAGACATGATCAAATGAGTCTGTGTTATTACTTTAAGTTTGAAATCATTGCATATCCAACCGGTAGTCAGCAGCAAGGAAAGCAGGGGTGTTTCTTTGAATTGTGGCCACTTTTCCTAGAACACTTGGAAACCTATGACCAAGCGCCTTGTCATAGGGGAATAATCTGACTGAAGGTGAATGTTCTTGTGATTTGGTGCCATATACATAAAACCAAATAGAAAGTCAGCACTGTCTTTAAGCCTTATATGATTCGAGAAGAGAACAAAGAAAAAAACAAAGAGTTGACCTCTGGGGAACACCGTGTGACAGCTGTCTTGGCTTCAGGAGGGATCAGACGTTTTACAACCAAACCACAGAGCCAGTAGATAATTATGTACATTAGCAGGGCCTTGTCACTGGCACACCTACAGTCAATAGATTGCAACACAGTGACTCGTAATAACTTCCAGAAGCAAGGTCAACTGCATGACATCACACAGTATGTAAAAGGTTAAGACACCACATGAAATATATATAGACCTTGTTCACGCAGTTCTTTTGATTTTCTGTTGGTATTGCTTAACACTTGGTTTTAAGCCACCAGCAAATCTTTCAGACAAGAAAAAAAGAGTCACTTCCTGATCTCTGCTCCTGAAATCTAAATCACCATAAAACACACCCAGGTGGTTTTACACACCCATGCAGTAGTATATGAAGATATTTGCGTGCAGTTAAGTGTCTGAACAGTTATGATCACGGATGGGTTGCAAGTTCACTACAAGCAGATTATAGCAGGTGGCCGCAGGTGGCTGCGATACTAACTGCTAATGTTGTGGCCGCAAGTATGTGACTATGAGCGCATAGTGTTCATAATCTAGTGTCACAGCTATCAAGCAAGTATGAAAACATCCATCTACCGTCACGCACTTACAAAGACATGCAATGCTAAGTATGTTCGCTCACACACACACACACACAAACAAGAAAGTTTTTAGCCTTTACACTAAAAACAAATAAATTTCCCCTAATTTGGGCTTTTACAATCATCTTACTCCTAGGAGTCTGACACAGCATCACTCACACACTGCCTTGTTCCACTCGTCTTAATTAAACTGTAATTATCAACACGAATACGTAACAAATAAAAAAAACTGGCCTGTGTTCAGCCTCGCATTTCATGTGACTCGCCATTGTGATTGCAAAAGATTTAACACACAGCCAAGATTTCATGGGCGAAAAGAACTCACCTTTACCACTTCCACTCCATGGTGTCTGTAGGAAAAAATATTAAAATGCTTATTGTCTATTGTTATGTTACACATAATGAACAAGACTATGCTGACAAATCATTCAGTATAGAGAATTTTACAGTTGAATAGCCTCATAGTAAAACAATAAGTACACTTACGCACAGAACCGTATGAACGCGTCCAGGTTCATCCTCCTGCGCTTCTTGTCGCTGAGCCAGCAGCCCACCCTGCGCTCTGACCGGACCCCTGCAGCCGAGGGACCGCACACGCGCACGGACAGACGATCCATTCATCCCTTCCCTCTGCCACTTCTGCTCGGGAGTGTCGAGTCCTCTCGCTCTTTTATGGGGACAGTCATGAGTCATGGTTGTCCGAGTCCGCACAGGAGGAGCGAGAGGGCCAGTTTAACTAGTAAAGTCTCTGACTTCCTCGTTGGCGCTGCCATCCAATTAAAGCGGCCGGGGCCGGCCATGGAGCCGCTCTGAGCGAAAAACTGAAAGAGAAAGTAAAAATCCTGTCGGGGAAGTTACTCCATTAGCCTGCTTTCACGGCAGTAGCACAGGCATGTCATTTCCTATTATCTGACTCTTGAAAAACACTCGAAGTATCGATTATTTGCGTGCTCATATAGACATATTGAGTAAAGTTCACCTGAGGTCACAAGGAGGAAGATGTCCCGAGGGTCCAACGCAGGTTTTGACCGACACATCACCATTTTTTCACCAGAGGGCCGCCTGTACCAAGTCGGTAAGGGACATTTTCTGTTGTGTGTTAGCTAACAGCAAACCCGGACCATGCCTAGTGTACAGTGCAGTAGCACCGTCATTACCAGGTGTGAGCTACCTGCTGCTGCTAATCGAAACAACACTACAAGAACATGATGGAGCAAAAGTAGCTAGCTTCTTCTGGTTTCGGTGCGGAGTACGGTTAGCGTCCAAGTTGAACACGTACTAGTTGCTATACCTGTTTTTACTCAAGCTTGAATGTTTATAACCTAGTTAAATTGCAATATGAATAACTGCACACAGTTAGTAGTTAGTTTCAGTTAGTTTTATTCTTTATGTGTGCGTTTAGTGTTTGAAGTATCCCGAAAAGAGAAAAAAATAGTTCCTCTAAGTTGTTTTCCTAACTATCATGGGCTAACTCGGTGCCTTCCCCCTCATAAATTAAATAATCAGATTAAAAAAATAAAGGGGGAGGTTTATGTTGTTATTTTTTCTCATATGTGTCTTGTGCTGCCATGCAGAGTATGCCTTCAAAGCCATCTCTCAGGGCGGGTTGACCTCCGTTGGGATCCGGGGTAAGGACACCTCGGTGGTGGTCACACAAAAGAAAGTTCCGGTAAGACCTCAAACGCGTCTCACTAGTGATGATGCTGATGATGATGATGTGAGCTGAAGCCAAACAGTGAGGCCACTTATGACTCAAAGCATGTCAGCAAAAAGCTTGAATAAGATACCCTGTATATAACGCGATAGGGCCTCAAACACACCTTTGGCATGTTTTTTATTCTCCTATGTCAGCTTCATTATCTAGTCACTGCAGCTATGGATGTTATGGAGTGTGCACGGATCCAGATATGATCCAGGAGACCCATTCATTTATCCAATTTAGGGTTACAGGAGGGCTGGAACTATGATAGGGTGAAAGGCAGGGTCTTTCGGAGACCACAAAGGCCTTCTGGAGAAAGGTTTTAATGCCAGACAAGACAAATATTGAGCTATTTGGCCACAATGGCAAGAGGTATGTTAGAGGAGTAAAGCTGCGGCTTTCAAACCTAAGAGCACTCACTGTATAAGCTGTCAAGCATAGTAGTGGTCTTAAGTTGCCCTTGGGCTGTTTTGCTGTACCAGTGGTACTGGTACAAGATGTAGCAGTACCCAAAGAACCAACCTTAGCCCTGTTGAAAATTTGTGGACTATGCTTCAGATGTCATGATGTTCCTAAAAACCAAAATAAATGAACTCTACCAATTCGAGCAGAAGGACTGGTCATATATCCAGCCAGAATTATACTAGAACCTTTTTGATGGCTACCAAAAGTGTCCAGCTTGCTAAGGCACATTTAACCAATGATTAGTGGGGGTGTCTGTATATAATTGATCCCATGTATAAATATTTCATCCTATGTGAATTAGAGAAAAAGACCCTGGAAAAAGAAGATCACAAAAAAAAAGAAAAGGAAAAAGGAAATTATCAAAAGATCAAAGTGCTTAAAACCATCAGAGATGCATTTCATGAGTCTAAATTGTTACTTTGACAAAATACTGCAGTGTCTAGATTTATAAAGCTGGATCATTTTTCCTACAGGATAAGCTGCTGGACTCTTCCACTGTGACCAACATGTTCAAACTAACACCTCGCATTGGCTGCGTGATGACCGGGCACAATGGTATGTATACATCACTTAACAGCATGCGTTTCATTATGATAATGTGTATGCTGTGCTGTCATAAATAATAATGAATAAATATGAGACGTGATGTATGTGTTGTTAAAGTGTTGATGTTCTTTTTGTGTGTAATTACGCTCAAATCCTGTTGTTCCTGTGCAGCTGACAGTCGTTCCCAGGTTCACCGGGCCCGAGTGGAAGCTGGGGAATGGAAGTATAAATTTGGTTATGACATCACGGCAGACGTGTTGTGTCGCAGGTTGGCTGATATCTCTCAGGTGTACACGCAGAATGCTGAAATGAGACCTCTAGGCTGCTGTAAGTAGGCGCTTACGTGCATTTTTACATTTTATTTGCGTCAATATATAGATATAATTAATAGTTAAGACAGTTTAGTTTAAGGGACACATTAATAACACATATAAGAGCTCATTAAAAACTGACTGCATGTGCACTGAATGTTCACAATCTGAAGGACGGCTGTCTTAAGTTGTCCCCATGTGCTCCCAGGTATGATCATGGTGGCCATTGACCCCCAGCACGGTCCTGTCCTTTATAAATGCGACCCGGCAGGCTATTACTGTGGCTTCAGAGCCACGGCGGTTGGAGCCAAACAGACGGAGGCTAACAGCTACCTGGAGAAGAAGCTGAAGAAAAAGCCAGAACTCAACCATGACAGGACAGTGCAGGTAAAATGAAGCTTGATGAAAACACACTTTCTCTGAATTGCTGATGCGATGCCTCCAATTTTAGTCGAAAAGGTGAGTTATGCGGTGGTGGTAAAAGCTGCTGGGTGGACTCGAAAGGATTGTCCTCCAACAGAAAGGCCAAGGTATACCAACAGTGTCCCTGAATAAAACGTTATACAGGATGTTTTTACATCCTGCAAAAGTCAAATCTGTGCCTTTATCACTGGTATAGTCACTGCCTTGAAATTGTCTGCCTCACTTAGGATTAGCTCATCATACATTGTTGAATTTGTTTTTCCTATACCTGCTCATTCCCAGAATAGCAGCCTCTGATGCACTTGGCCTTTTACCTTTGTTAGAATATCAACATCTCAGTGGTTGTATGTCAGTGAAGGAGAGGGTGTTGCATGATTTCAGCATCTCTGATTGAGATATGATTTACAAGAGGATGACCTGTGAGCAAACAGGTCAATGTGACAATGAACCATAGCAGTCTGTCCTTATAACAGTTTCACATTGCCATTCATGTGACTCTGAACTTACCTCATAAAGTGTGACGTTTCCAGTAACATGAACCCTGCTTACATGTCTCAGGTCATCTCACCTGTAAAGAATCACTGATGCTGGCCTTACACCAAATAACTCTCAGGCAATATCAGTGTCGAAGACAAATGTCCCGTGTCACGACAAAATATTGGCAGTTTTCTTTCATCTCGATTGTCTCAGTCAAAGCTGCCTTAAGTTGGTGTTGTTGTCGTCTCCATATTCCATAGGAATCACCCACGTTTGATTCAGTCGTAAGTCTTTGGTCATGGCTCAGGCAAATCACTTTCATGAACATGGTTGACACCCAGTAGCTTCTCTTCCTCCGGTCTCATTCTCAGTGGCATCTTATGTATGCAGCTCCTTCTGTTTAATGCTCAGTTGTCCAGCATTGTGTGATATTGTTAAAGGCAATTTGGTTAATTGGAAATAATAACCCTGAAAAAAATTCCCAGTGTTTGCAAAATCTTACAATCTATGACTACAAACTTTCAGTCAAGACACAGCATCTCTAGATGCTTCAGAAGTGCTTTTAAAGTCTTCTAGTGTGTGGTTGGCATTATACATTTTGTGTGACGATCGCTAAAACTGCCTGCTGAGTTGTCTATGATGTATTTAACGACATACACTATATGGACAAAAGCGTTGGGCCGCACCTCTTAATCTTTGAATTCAAGTATTGCCAGTCCCATTGCCACATGTGTACAAAGTCATGCACCGAGCAATGCAGTCTGCCTTTACAATAGGGCTGCCACAAACGATTATTTTGATAGTCGACTAGTCACCGATTATTTTTGCGATTAGTCGACTAATCAGATCATCATCCACTGGACGTAAAACGTACAGCTTATTGCACCAGCAGCATCTGCTCTTATATAACTATCATTAGCTTACAGCTTTAAGTGTTTAAGGTGCTAACTAAAAATAAAGACAAGATGATAGTTTGTTAAATTTTAATGAAATCTGCAGGTTGTTTCGGTGAAGTTTAATAAACTCCTTGCGATATAAAATATAACAGGACACCGGAGTATATTCTCCAGCATCTCACACTTCTGATAATCAGCTGTCTGCTTGACGTTTATTCAGCTGTGTAAAAACTTTAATTCTCAGCCAAACCGATTTACTCAGGAACAAATAAAATACTAAAAAAGCCAAACAACAACATTTTTAAGTTATCTAAGTGACTTATATTACATGTTTAACCTGCGTAGCGAAAGACGGCGGTGGGTTTGAAAACAATTTGCTGGGAGTCCGGTGTTCTCACGGGCTCTAGTGAGCCTTGCCCCCGGCTAGCTATCGAGCTAGTGGGTAACAGACGTCTCCGAAAACGTCGGAGTGCTTTTGAAAATATGTGGTGTCTTGATAAACTGAGCAGATATTTGAGGTTTACACAGCTACATTCTCACCTGAAAATATGTTAAACGTTTATTTTGTGACCCAAAAAGAATAATAAGAGTAATATTAAAACTAACTAGCTGCCGCCATTGTTGGAAACTGAGCTGGGCTGCGCTATGAATTCTGGGACAGAGCTACTTCTTCTTCGGGGTGTAACGGCAGCTGGCATCCTTGTACATGCAGTGCTGCCATCTTCTGTTTCAGTCCGTTATTACACTCAGCGCACAGCTGTCTCAGTAACTGCAGAGGTTCAAACCTTCCCTAACATTAACGTCAACAGAAGAGTGTGCACTGGGAGCTTCACGGCCTGGGTTCTCTGTGACCAAGAGGATTCTGTAGGTATAATGTGTAGGCCTGTACTTTAGTCCATATATTGTATCTTTTGCAGTGTAAACCCTAATGTGTCCTGATGTGTCCCTTGAAAAATGAGTCATGAGGGCAGATGTAGTGGTACTTTTTCTTTAGTCCTGTTCCCTTTTTGTTCAGCCAGTGTCAACATTTAGAGTGGTTTAAACGTCAAATCTAACTTGGCCTTTAAAAACCTGAATACTAGTGGTCACCTGAGCACACTATAGAAGCAGGTGTAAACCATGATTTTGTTCATGATGTTGGAGTCAGGCCAGTTAACCAAGTGTAAACTGAACCAAGCCTGAAAATCGCCCAATGCCAGAGAATCAACCAGCATTCCTCAAAACTATTAAAATCTTTTGAATGACTTGCAATACAACCTGTGTTGTAGGAAAACGCACCTGAAACAACATTTCCTTTCGGCTTTCTCTCCTCTGTGCACCTTGTTAGTCTGTGAAGTTGTACTCTGCTTTCGCTCTGACTGAAAATCCTCTTTAATGTTCTGACTGAAGGATTTTTTCTTTCCTGTCTTTCCAGTTGGCCATTTCCTGTCTGTCCTCTGTCCTGTCAGTGGACTTCAAGGCCAGTGAGCTGGAGATCGGCGTAGTGACCAAAGACAAACCTAAGTTCAGGTAACTTCATTCACACACTGGTTTCACCACATGGGTCATGACTGAGGTTCTGCTCTAGATTTTTACCCTGAAAGAAACGTGGCATTGTTTATTATTTTAGGTGCTTTTATTGCAAATACGAGTTTACTTTTTTTTTTTGGTTCATTCCATTTATAGTTTGTTTGTCAGATGCTTTTTATTTTTTTGTCAGTCTGGTAATTATACAGGATTTAAATCTCTCTGTTTTGAAGGACTTAACATGGCCATGTCTGACTTCTGTTCTTCCACTTTTCCTCCCTCCTCTCCTTCTGGCAGGACCCTCGCTGAAGAAGAAATTGAAACCCACTTGGTTGCAATAGCAGAGCGGGAGTAGAGACACCCTTGCAAACATCGGTCTGTGATTTATCATAGTCTGCTATAGTCGGTGTGCTTGATTTAGTCTAATTTACCAATGCTGTTCCACTGTACACAACACTGTACACAGTCGGTCACCTGCATGTCCAGACAGATTAATCAAGCGCACCTGATGAAGAAACTGTGCTAAAAAGGATCGATACATGTTTGATTCATAGTGATAGGACACATATCTCCAGTGGGCTTTTTTAAAACAGTTCTGTATAGAGTAGTAATGCCATTTTTAAATTTTGATCTTGCACCTAAAGCGACTAGCTAAACTTTTGTTGGATGCTGGTTTGTGCATAATATTTATCATACAGCATTTTTAGGACTGTATGTTTATAACAACACTCTCCAAAGATCATAATAAAACTGTCCCTGGGAGTCACACTTAATGCTTTTTAAGCAACTCACAATAAAACTGAATGCAAAGAAGACTGAGTCGTGTGTTGGTTTAACGTGAACGGATTAAGGATAAGGATACGTATTCATGAGCAAGAACTAAGGATCCAGGATTTAGACGGGGTAGAGTAATGAGGCCATTAGAAACATTCATGTGTTCATTTATGTTAGCTGCAGCTAAAGCAGATTTGATTTTAAAAAGCAATCACAGTTTATGAGGCTCTTGTGTTGAAATGTATGTGGCTTCTCTGCCTGTTATTCACTGTTGAATGTCCTGCGTTTCTTCTTGTGACCACTAGATGGCAGTGGTGTGCCTGCTTCCAGCCTCCTCTGAGTATTTCATAACAGAATTTGTTCTTCTTTGTACTTTTCTATTTACAGAAATCTATTTTGACTCTTGTAAACTATTACGCTTCCAAGTCTTTGGGGATTGCGTGTCTGTATGTGTGTCACACTGCCAATCGTGCATTTCCACTTTGTTATTTGTCCCTTGTTGTGTGTCTTGCCAGTCCACCAGAAAGACACACTGTGGCCCACCATTTACAAAATGTCACCTGGCAGTCTGAAAGGATAAGTGTTTCTCAGCCACGCACGCACATATTCACTCTTAAAATGAACACGTACAATGACAGAGAACAGCAGCGTGTTTATGCTTTTACTTTATTATTAGAAGCAGATTACATGAATATCCTGTTAGTTTACAGAAGTTAAACTGTGATCCTACATTATTAATAATGCTGATTCTCTCATTGACAACAATATTTTTTACTTACCTGCCAAGTAGTTTCACAGTATTCACTGCCCTGAAATTGTCTTAAACAAATACTGTACCGTTGCAATATCTCTATGGTAGCCATGTGATGTTACACATCATACACGTGTTTGTTCTGCAGCAGTTTCCAGTAGTTTGTGTTTCATCTTGTTTGTTGTTTATGAGCTCTCTTTGCTCCTCGGTGCTGTCCTGTTTCCTTACCACCCCCAGCTGCCCCACAGCCTGCTGAGGTCTCTTCTTTCCCACAGTCACCAAGTGGTCTGGGGGTTGTTCCATTCATTAGAATTTACATCTGATATTTCAGGGTCTTTACCTTACAGTGTAAAGCTCATAGAGATAACTGCTGTTGTGAACTGGCGCTATGTAATGTAACTTTACCAATGCCCATCCAATAATACATTTTAAAGATAAGATTAATACTTTAAGGTCATTTGAAAGCTTACAGGACTGAGAAGAAGGATATTTAAAGACTAGATTCTCAATTTGTTTGCAGACACATTAAGGATTTAGACTGAGAGCATCAAAAAGCCCTGCTAGTCTTGTTAAAGCTCCTAGTGGTTGGAGCACGGTCCTAAGTTGCATTGATAGGCTTTAAGTGTCTCGCCTTCAATTACTTTATGGGAGCATTTCTGTACTTCTTAGATAACATAAGATTGTGTATAAAGGTATAAGCGTTGGCACATAAACTCTTATGGCCTGTTTTAACCCCATGCCAACAGGATGGGAACAGTGCTGCAGTGGTAAAACCAGCTGGCTCTTCAACCCCCATTGCTGCATTGCATGCACAGGAACCTGGAAAAACACAGAGCACAAAGAACGCTGTCAGCACTGGCAGGTTCACAGTTTACATAAATGCAGACAGACATGAAAAAGTCTCCACCAATAAAAGTGTTGAACTCGTAGATATGCTAGCTATACTTAGTGGATCCACACCAAAAAGTAGTTGTAGTACTGGAACCTTTACATGTTCCAGTCCCCAGTTTTTAGATACTTTATTCTGGCAGAAGCATTGACTGTTACAGCCATGGACTGTATACAAAAGATGGACATGGCCACCATAAAGCAGACTGAGTAGCCACTGCATGCTGATTAGCTAGCAATTTGTCAAACAAAGTGAAGCATATCCTGCTTTATCCTCCTTTTTTACTTTAATTAAGTCTGTGATTAGCACATAAAGCATTTTGTTATATAATATATGATTTGGAAATAGCAATTGAGGTCATAACTAATTAAAACGTGTTTACTGAGATCAAACAGCAAGAAAACTGAAGGGATGTTCTTCCCTAGACCTCTACACAATTGGACTCAAGTCACACCCATTCTGGCTATTAAAAGGACAGATCTATGTCACTTTTCAGAGCTGGTAGCATTGTCCATCTTTTATATACAGTCTATAACTCTAGCACAGGGGTTATATAACAGCAATGTGAATGGTCTCTTCATTTAAGTTTCAAACTGCAGTAACAAAATATCTTTAATGAAAAAGACCAATCTGTGCTTGAGATTAATTTAGGGAATACCACACAGTAGGACAGAGGAAGGTGGAAAGGGAGGTCTTATTTTAAGCTGTTTTAAAATTAATTATAGTAGAAGATGTAAGTGAAGCTTTTTATGGGAAAAGAAGACATGACAGAAGATTTACAGGATTGGAAAGAAAATGACTGAAGTGGATCTTTAAATTTGAAAAAACAAAGACTTTGTAATGGAAAAGAAATATCACCACACACAATTAACTATAAGACCGCTCCCCCTTCATTTTCTTATGGTGTATTATTGAATACTAGATGTTTTATAAAACTTTAAGAATAATTAAACAGTTAATTTATGTATATGTGTATTTTCATAAACATCTTTATAGTTTTTTTTCTCTTAAGGTCATACCCCTGCCCACTGCTATCAAGACTTGCTCGTCTTATTCTATGGTGTATTTAACAAAGTGCCTTTTTCATTTTTGAATTGATTTGTACTCAGACGCCCCTAAGTATCTTTTCCCATGTCCTCTCCTCACCACATACCCTTCATTTTTCCCTGTGCCTTTTTTTCTCATCCCTACAAACACACCACTTCTCCTCTCGTATTCGCAGCCCCATAACCCTCTTTTTCCTCAGGCACCTTCACCTCACAGCTGTTCTGCTCCTCTCTGTTCTGGCCATACCTCAAGCGCTAATGCCACCTGTTTCTTACCTCCATGCCTGAACTCCTGCAGCTCATACCCCTCTACCTCGCATTTATCCTTCCTTTTCCCCCATCACTCCCCCACCATATGAAATGTTGACCCTGTGGCTGGTGTCTCCTGGTACTGTGAGTGCCTGCCAAGCTAAATGGGCCCAGAGCACTGGCCATGTGTGTGTGTGTGTGTGTGTGTGTGTGTGGGGTCACAGCGTGGGGATTAGGTGTGTGTGAGTGATTGAGGGTGACAGCGGCCCTAGCATTAGGTGCCCTGTGGCAGATTTCGTAGGCCTGTTTTAGACACACTAAGCTGGATTTACCAGCAGCAGTGTGTCAGCAGTGATGCAGCCTGGTTGGACCTCCTACAGAACACACACACACACACACACACACACACACACACACACACACACACACAGGACCCAGCAATCCACCTGTAACCAGTCTTGGCTGTCCCATTAACCCTTCCTTTCTGTCCATCATAACCTTTTTACACTCCTGTAAATATGCATCAGCAGCACAGTGGACCCCATGATGCAGGCAGGCCACTGTAGCGTGCTCTAAGTGTCCTCTGAATCTTGACAAACAACATCGAAACAAACAACGTTAAGGACACGTTGCATTTCAGTGCAACCAGTGGCTTACCTCACTTACCAGTACACTTACACAATGGGTGAATTTTTACATATAAAGTTACACTTGTGTTGAATATTATGGCATTAAAAAAGTGTTTTACTTTGCTGACAAAAGAAGGCAAAAGAGAATATGGGTTAGCATGCAGTCAGTCTCATGACCATCAGACAATGCTCATGATGTAGCCTCCAGCTCTTCTGAGATGGCTTTCATTTCTGCTGTGAGGGTGTGATTGTTAAAAAAAAGAGCACACACACACATGCAGATGTGTAGCTACATCTATATATTGTGTTTCCTGCAAATTGTATGTCCCTTGCATGAGCAGTACTATATGATTGAAATCACAATTATGGTTTTTCTTTGCCACTGAGTTGCATGCTGGGTAGATTGCTGTGTATGTGTGGTCACTTTAGTACTTTGTGAGAGGGCCTCTCAATCTGCACATGTGTATTGATGCTCAATTGTCTGTGTATATGTGTGTGTTTTTTGTGATACCCATGGACCACTATGTGCACACCTTTGTCCTTCTGTGTGATTTTGTGCACAAGTGTGCATTTGCGCGCCTGCTCACTCTCACATCTCTGTTACAGCCTGTCCATTGTGAACAAGAGTGTTGAGCAAGATCCTGACCCACCGGTGGGTACTAATCACACACATTCCTCAGGATTAAACAGCCAATTAACAATAAGAGCGCCATTGTCGCTCTGTCTCCTTGTGCGTCACACGTAAAAGGTTTTCTGTGTGTGTATGTGTACCGAGCGAGTGCGCGCGACTCTGTTTGTGTGCCGAGTGCATGTGCCTTTGGACGAGCACGAAGCCAAGGTGCTTTTCTGCTGATCAGAAAGAACTCTTTGTGCTCCTGTGGCGATGTGTTACAATATTAACATGAAATTGATGGCTTCATAACTGAGATTAAACAGAAACTGTGTGCAGCGTAAAAACAGCGTTGATAGAGAGAAAGATGTTCTGTAAATGCAAGATGTGTGTGTGTTTGTTTATGTGTATTTTGGCACAGTGTTCTTAATGAAGCAAGATAAACCAGGACCTACTGAGACAACAGTGGCAGCTCCACCCGCTACAGAGCAATAAACATTCCTTGTGATTCTACTCTGTTCTGTTCGTTAGTATATGCATTTGTGAGACTGTGTGTGTGTATGCATGATTGCATATATAAATGGTACCTTCAGTACCATTCAGTGTGTGTGTGTATGTGTGTGTGTGTCCATAGGGTGGGTGTATGCATCAGTGTGGCACGTGTCGGAGTGTGGCTGAGGATTAGTGAGGCTCAGGGCCTGTTGCTCCACTTCCATGATTATTACTGCTGTCTACTGCCATATGGGCTGGTGGTGTTGCAGGTGGTGGGTGGGGGTTCAAGCTACTGTACCACGCTAGACACACACACACACACACACACACCCCACCTTTGTCCACCCACTGCAATAATGTCCCCCTTCTCCTCCACACCAGCACACACACATGATCAGAAGACACACACACACACACACGGTCTTTTATAAAGCATATAAAGCCATGCATGAATGCACATATGAGCTTTGTCTTAACTAGCTGAAGCCTGTGTGTGTGTTACATCTGGGGGACATAACTTCCCTGGAGACAGAAAGCATGTCCATATAGTGTAATTGAAAAATTTAGGTTTAAAACTTTGTGTAAGCTGTGTCTAAGTTGTGAATAGATGGGTAACAGGTACTACTTTAGTACCTGTGAGTCAGCAGGCAACTGCATGCCATATGGTCAGAGAGCAGTGGCCCGGGTTTGAGTCCGAACCTGAGTCTTTACCATACAATTATAAAGCGCTCTGAGGGTGCTGTTGTTGTGAATTAGTGCTACATAGTTAAAAAAAAATGCAAACTGAATTGAAGAGCACAGGCTGCCTTTTGATGTTAATTAAACACTGTGAATGCTTTTACATTAGCAGTTTTTCCACGGTTTTTACAGTTTAATCATATATTTTTAATGAATAATAATAAATAACTTTAAGCAAATGAAAAGTATTTGGTTTGCTATAAAGGTTACCTCAAATAATCAGTCAACATTATGAACTCCGTTTATTCCATAACATAATTTGTATTTTGAATGATCATTATCTACCTTTTCTTCAACCACAATTAAAATGAAGCCAGAATTTTGAATGAAACACATCTGAAATGTATAAAAATCAAAGGTTTATTTATTTAAATAAGTACAAAAAGTATAACAATCAGGTACAATTTTATTGGACCAGATCCTGTTAAATGTAGCAATTTAAATTGCACTTGCATAGAAAAATTCAATGAACAATTTACATGTAATTAAATTAGTTCAAGTCAGAATTTCGGGCATATGTGTGTGTGAGTGTGTGTACTTTTTTTTTCTTTTTATTGCATTTACTGAATTTGTATTCACTTCCAGTATTAAAAGTGAATATTTTGACATTGTTTGGTGATATTTTGGTATGCAGTTTCTCAGCTTCTACAAGTGTATGAGTATGACGGTATGAACAGGTGTTAACACCCTAAAACCTCAGACAGTGATAGGGAGGGGGTTAAATGATGACTGGTATTGCACACACACACACACACACACACACACACACACACACACACACACACACACACACACACACACACACACACACACACACACACACACCACCTGCTGCTGTCTGCAGTTGATTAGAGATCTGTCTACCAGAGAAGACAGCAGGACACACACATGCACGCATCAGGGGGTCTGCAGTCTGTGAAATTGATCAAGATGCTGGCCAGACATTATTTACAGATGAACTCATAGTCAGACTGATCCTCCTTCTTCTGTCATACACACACTTTGTGCCTCCACATGGGACCCAAAGGAGGCTGGAGTGCAGCACAGCTTCTTTAAGAAAAAAAAACCTCAGCAGAACTGCATCCTGCAACGACTGACGTCACGCATATCATACATTATGTATAATTACATTAATCTCATCTCATAAAACAACTGTCCACATAAAATGCATGGTAATAAAACCAACACTTTAACACTTTAAAAGCTGAACCCTGAAACTGAAAATAAAATTTTTAAAATTATAATATTAATTATACAGCAATATTAATTTGCATAAGTGCATGAGTTTTTATTTTTATTCTATTTGCTGCAGGAAGTAAAGAATTATTTATTTGTTTGTTTGTTTTTTTGGGTGGGGGAGTGAGTGCATTTTATTGCTTAGAAATCTATTGTGTAATTTATTGAAGTTTATACAAGTTTACACCAGTTACACTAGTTTACACTAGGCATTCAGGGGTTAATTAAAACATTCACTAATATCATTCATCAGCCTGATAGCCACGACTCTATTCAAGAACGGGGCCTCGTGTGACTGTATCATAAACATGGAAAAAAATGTGAAAAAAAGTCTTTGGTTGCAGTTGATAAAAGCTGATAGTGTGAACAAAAGGCGTTTTAGAATCACGGAAATAGGTTTGTATTTCTTTTTTAAAATGTCATAAATATAAATAACAAAGCATTAGTTTCTTCCAGGCTGTATTTACCATAAAAAATTCATGTGAAACCATTTTTCAGAGGTTTCCAAACATGCAATATATCACCAAAGAGACCACCAAGTATAAATATGACTGAAGTTTTAGCTGCATCAAATTTGTTAGAGATTCTTTAAAGTAGCTTGTTTGTATCCATATATACATAGCCACCAAGGTGCAAGTAAATTAAGTATCCAGCCCTGGTCTATATTTGTTGAGTATATGTTTATATATGCATCGCATTGTATAAGTGTTAACAGCCTAGATCCATGACAGACTGCTGGTAACCCAAATCCTTCTCAAAGGACGCGCTCACGCAAGCCCACGCATATGCATACGTATACACTAACAGTGTGCAGAAACATTGTAACAGCAGGACTATTCAGTGTAACCTACACACAACTGTACATATATGAAATGTAAGCACTATCAGAGAGAGAGACACATGGTCTGACCTGGGCTCACGCAGAGTAATCCTTACACGAGTTAAATGAGGAGTTAACACTGACCTCGATACATACCCTCCAACAACAGCATTCATAGCTACATACAAACTCCTACAACAGATGTAGTATGAACATGTGTCGTCTGTGAATGACTTTCTATATGAATAGGCCAACTTGTATACTGAAAAACATGAGAGGCGGCACAGCGCTGACAGCGGGACCCTGAGAAAGCTCAGACTGGGTCTGTCACAACGCCCCTCCCATGCTCCCCTCCATCTGCCTCTCTCTCTCTCTCTGTTCTTCCACTTTTTTCTGCCCTGTTTTATCATCACTCTAGTCAGGTCTTCCTTTCTTCCTTCTTCTCCACCCCATCCGCCCTAACTTTCCGCCCAGTTTCCTCCAGTTATAGACTTTTGTCGTCCGCCAGTCACTCACGGTAACTGTCGCATTCTTACCTTCTCGTTTGTGTCAGCCTGGCCGGTCTCACCCTCACTCACACACAAACACCACTGTGGCCTTTTCTCTCTCACAACAGCAACTTCCTATAATGTTCGTTTACCTTATCAAAACTGATCAATCCAGCCACAGAAGTTAAGGTCCAGGCTCTCCGTTCCAGTGCAGTGAGCGCTCAGTTCTCTCCATCCACCCTTCCTCTGTCAATCTGGCCACAAACCCCTCTTTCCTCCCTTTATCCCGAGGTAAGATACTTACTTTTCAGATAAAGCATATTATGATAAATCGGCTGAACTCTGTGCGCGTGTGTGTATGTGTGTGTAACTGTCTCACACACACACACATGCACACTATAAGCACACAGAGTGTACACAGACATACAAAAATGTGCTGTGTATCGAACAATATGATGTCAGAGTATTTAACAGCTGGGGAAAATGTGTGTGTGTGTGTGGAGGGTTTGTGCATGTATGTGTATGTGTGTTTTAGGCCTTTTTGAATTTAATGGTTTTTGGTCTTTGACGTGTTGCAAATGGCACAAAAACAGCTTTTTTCATCTCCATCATGCCCAAACACACACACACACACACACAGAGTAAATTTTCTGTCAGTAAAAAAGCCTCGGGAACATTTCATGAGCAATGACTGAGTGAAACTTCATTTCAATTCCAGTTTGAAATCCTTTTTTTATCCTTTGGAATTAAAACATTCAGACATCCATCTGAGCAGCGCTGAGCATACAGATGAGGAGGATTTCATATCTGAGTATTTTTCTTTCTTTTTTTTAAACTATAGCTGTCCAGAATGGATGAGTTTGCTCTCAGCTTCTTAGTTTATTGAAGGGCGTTCACTAATGAAAAAGGGATGAGAGAAATAGTGGAGCATATGGGCAAATGTTCTCTAACAAAGTGGGATGGCAGTTAAGGTCAACAAGGGGAATAAAAGAGTTTGGAGAAAATGAAAACTAAATGAAAATACAATGGCGGTGTTTGCCTGTGGGACATGTATGCGTGCCTGTTTCAAAATGGGATGTTTACGAAATGCTGTGCCCTGCTGTGTGTGTGTGTGTGTGTGTGTGTGTGTGTGTGTGTGTGTGTGTGTGTGTGTGTGTGTGTGTGTTTGTCTGTGGGAGTATAGATTAGATGCACTAAGCCTCTTATGTGATGGTTGCCCTTAATTTGCTTCTACTCTGGGTCCTAGTGCGTCCAAACCACAAGCATCACGGAACAATTTCCAAAACAAACAACCCAGAAAACATTACTTGTCATGCAACAGTAAAATCCGCTGCTTTGAATAAGAGCATTAATATTTAGACTGGTACCTAGCCCTGTATCTTAGGGAGGGCTTATCTTTTTATGCACATTCAAGAGCACAATTTAAAGAGTAAAAATCACAAAGAAAATAACTTGGAGGAGAAAAATAGTGACTGTACTAAATAATTCTGAATAAATGAGTCAACTTCCTAATGCTTTCATAATGCTTGTCTTGTTTTCTAAAACAATGGATGCGGCAGTTTTGGGACTTTTTTTTCTTTAAATCTGGTGCAGCATTTAGGCTACAACCTAATGACGATTTTAAAAAAAAATCCTATATTTTATTATCTTATTAGGAACCTAAGAGTCTAATTTAGAACAGCTTTTCCATTTCAAAATAAATGTACAATAACTAAAAATAACTATATACTAATATTTTACAACTATGCTTTATAGCCTAATACAGTCCCAAATACAAATGTGTCATTTATAATTAGCATACAATACAGGCTATTTATGCTTTTGTTGTCAACTGAGAAACTACTGATTAAATGAAGTTATTTTTCCTACTATAAGCTTATCAAATTCTACTGCTCATAACAAAAAACATTTTTAACATAAAAAAGTAAGAAAACAATGTATTTTCTGTTAGCTTATAACATAAAACATGTTAAAAAATGTACTTAAGACTCTGAGGGCAGGTGCTAGGAGAATGCGCGTGCACAGCACTACCGCGCTCGCGCCCTGACGCGCATCTGAGGTCTCGCTATTCCCGCCGTTTTTTTTTTCATGTCAGCTGGAGGTCTCGAGACAGTCTTGTCCTCGGACTCCCCACATTTAGCTCATTTAGCTATCCTGCTAGCAGTTAGCTGTGTATAAACTACCCAACAACAACTGACAATAACAGCTAGACATACAAACAAACACACAGGCGTACCTGGATGCGGTGAGCAACTGAAGAGTCCACCGTATCCAAACCGTGAACAGCGCGCACACTGGAAGGCCTCCCACACACTGAGACAGCCACACACACCTCAGCAGGTGAAGACATTTTATTCTGAGATTTGGAAACGTTCAAACACGCCGGTAAAATACTCTCTGTGGCTCTGTGTGTGTCTTTATATCTCCTGCTTTGGCTTTACAGAGCTAGATAAACCCCTTATACAGTTTGGGCTGTAGCTACATGTGTGTGTGTGTGTATGTGTGTGTGTGGATTTTAAACTATAAGAAATCCGATTCAATTAACAAGCGCAGAGAATCGGCTTTGGACACTGTGAAATTGTCTCGCTGTAGAGGATGGCACAGGCCAAACTAGCCCCGGGAGGAGACACAACGCATACACAAAGCTCAGCGAGAATAAATACAACACCAGGACTGACAAAATAAACAAAGGGTAACGGAAACAAAAAAACAAACAACCATCTGTAATAATAGTGCGTACAAAATTATAAGATAACGAAATAACGTCGGACTTTGCAATAAAACATCTTTATCAGATACTTATTACACATTTAGAATGTAGGTATATAATCAGACCAGGGCCTGACAAATCAAATAAAACTAGTTTCAGATTATTATTATTATTATTATTATTATTATTATTATTATTATTATTATTATTATTATTGATTAAGTGAATGAATGGATAATTGGTCCGGAGGCAGCATGTTGGGGATCAGAAGGGGATTTAATAGCAGAACAACGCGGTCTTTGTGCTACTTTTAATCCGGCCTGTACCCCCCTTCTCCGCCTCAGCTGCTCTACCTCTGCCTCCACACTCAGTCGTCCAATTATTTTAGGTAGGCCAATTTCAAAAATACTTTAGAACAATATAATAACATTTTTAAAAAGAATTAATTCGTTTAAAAAAAAAAGAGAGATCTTGAAAATGTCTCCGGACACCTATGCTTGTTGCTGGGATGACTTTTTTAAGCTTGGCAAGTGGCTATAAAAACGAAAATTGTTAAAAAATTGTGTTTGCGCGCGCGCGGTGCGTGTTTTATAATACTTTTTCGATGTTTGTGTTTACTGCCTGCATATCAACAAGTCTTCTTTGTTGCTGCGGCGACATTTAGATCAAATAGGGACATTAAAAAGACCATATATTATCCAAATCAAATTCAAATTTTATTTGTCACGTACACAGTCATACACCTCCTCTATTGAAAGACAACTTGAATGAATAATGAACAATATGTAGATGCGCGTGGGCGTGTGCGCAGAGAGAGAGAGGGAGAGAGAGAAGGAGGGAGGGCTCTGGGTGTCTACTTGGATAAGAAGTTACTTCTAATTAGCCAGTCTCTTCTCGCTCTCCTCACTTGTCCGCCCTGCAGATCAGCGTCCTCTTCTTCTCAGGGACGACCAGGGACAGAGAGGCCCCCCACCCGCCTTACAATTTTTCAACACCCGTCAGACCGCAGGCACCAAACTGCTGTGGAGCTGCCGCTGCTGCCGCTGCTGCCGCTGCTTTTTGGCATCTTTCACCCGGCCACGTTACATGTGCGCACTGCAATTACGCACGGCTCTGATGGAGATTCTAACCGGCCTCGATTAGCGAACTGTGCTGTTTTCAGTGTGGTGTATTGACTTGTCGCACCGGGCCGACTTCAGTTGAGGTAGTCTTTCTTTTTTTGACTAGAAGCATTGAACAAACACCAAATCCTTAAAAGCGCCGTGGTTTTACGCGTCAGGTGGAAACAAACGTAAAGGGGCTTGGCCAAAGGTGCCTGGCTGGAAGGCAGTAAGTCAGAGTAAGGTATAAAGATAGTTGAGGAGAAGGCAGTCAATGGACAATTAAAAAAACAAAAACAACCTAAGGCCAAACATCCCAGGAAAAGGAACAAACACCGTTAAAGGCAGTTAGAAGGAAAATAGAGAGAGAGAGAGAGAGAGAGAGAGAGAGAGGAGGGAGAGGGAAAGAGAGAGAGAGAGATACACCCCCTGGAGACTAGTTAGGAGACCCGGCCCCCGGTCTGAGAGAAGGAGAGAGCGAGTGAGGGAGTGTTTTAAAGCCGGCAGGAGGCATGATGTCCTACATTAAGCAACCCCATTACGCCGTGAACGGGTTAACGCTGTCCGGCCCGGGCATGGATCTGCTCCACACCGCCGCCGTTGGATATCCCAGTAAGTACTGGCCTTTGACTTCTGTGTGTTTTTAATCTGTGTAAACCTGTAGTTTCTTTAATCGCCTTTATATTAAGTAAACAAATACAATAAAACAAGGGAAATGAATTAAGTGAAATATTCGTTATGTATTTATTGCTTATATTGCGCAGAAAAACGGTAAAGAAAGAAAAGACTCAATTTGAATAATATATTTGAAAATGTATCTGTACGGTTATATTTATGATTATGAACCTAAGTGTCTACTGCTCCGTGTATCAGAACATGTGTTCACTTGACCTATAAATTCAGAGGATTATAGAGTCAAAAAACAATGAAAATGTGTGAGAAGAGAAAGGCCGCCTGTTCTCACACGGAATTAAAACTAACTCCAATCTGTTGCGCTTACAGTGTAACCTATTTACAAAAAGGACAGTCATTGTATTTCATATTGGTGCATTAATAATATATATTTTTTCATGAATGAACACTGAGGTTGTTTATAAAGGCCGATATGCAGCGACCAGCATCTGCCACAGCTCAGAGGATAGTTTGAAACGACGGCAGAAGGCGTGTTGTCGAGCTCGGCCCAAAATTTACGTTTTTAAAAGTCATAATCCCCGATGTGGATATTCATTTCGTTTCGGTCTTTCTTTTTTTTTTCCAGTCAGAAATATTAAAAAAGAAAGAAAAACTTCAGGCCTGCTGGATCCGGTCCTATAAAAACGTTTCAATCCCGCACACGTTTGTTTCTTTCCTCAACGCCACATAAAAGATTGAGCTACGGAGACTCGCCACTATTTGTTTGTCTACAAATATCCACAGCAGCGTATAAAATGTGAAACGAAGCCGCAACGGTGCTTATGTATTTAAAGCGTATGCTGCGAATTCAAGAGAAAAATCGGAATTCGTTTATTTGTTTCAGCGTTTTTATTGAAGTTGTTTATATATAGATTTGAATTTCATATTATTTTCAATTCATCATTTCTTTCATCATCAGTTCAGTCATTTTTTAAATGTAATAAATGCACACCAACGTTGATACATGGCCTTACATGGTCCAATAATTTTTCTGCGGAATTCTTCAGATATAAACTCAACGTAGATTTTAACGTGGCAATAATAATAATAATAATAATAATAACATTTTTTGTAGGCACCCCACGCAAACAGCGTCGGGAGCGCACGACTTTCACGCGTGCGCAGCTGGACATCCTGGAGGCTCTTTTTGCCAAAACACGCTACCCAGACATCTTCATGAGGGAGGAAGTGGCACTCAAGATCAACCTGCCTGAGTCCAGAGTCCAGGTAACACATTATACTGAAAATTATACTCATATATATTTTCCTATATTGGCAGGGCAAAACACCTGTGTGTGTGTGTGTGCGTGTGTGTATGTCACAGGGACACACATACAGAAAGAAAGTGAGGGTTTGTTGAGTTCTTATGAAAGCAGCTTGTACATCTTTAATGTTTTTTATCAGCTGCTTTGATTGTGAAATAGTGATACTTAGATATCTTCTCTCTGATGCTCCTGTTCCCAAAGGTCTGGTTCAAAAACCGTCGTGCCAAGTGCCGCCAGCAGCAGCAACAGAGCACAGGCCAGTCCAAACCACGGCCCCCTAAAAAGAAGGCATCCCCTGCTCGTGAGGCCAACACCGAGGCCAGTGCCAACCCCACCAACGGTCCCTACAGCCCTCCTCCCCCTCCTCCAGGCACCGCCATCACCCCCAGTTCCAGCTCTGCTAGTGCCACAGTGTCCATCTGGAGCCCAGCCTCGATCTCTCCGCTGCCAGACCCCCTGTCTGCTTCCACCACCCCGTGCATGCAGCGTACCACCACCTACCCCATGACCTACACCCAGGCCCCAGCCTACAGCCAGAGCTACGCAGGCTCCTCCTCCTACTTCACTGGCCTGGACTGTAGCTCCTACCTGTCTCCAATGCACCCACAGCTGTCGGGGACCGGAGGGGCCCTGAGCCCTATCACAGCCTCCTCTATGGGCGGGCCCCTAAGCCAGTCCCCAGCCTCACTGTCCTCCCAGGGCTACACAGCCGCCTCACTGGGCTTTGGAGCCGTCGACTGTCTAGACTACAAAGACCAAACTGCCTGGAAGCTCAATTTCAATGCCGCTGACTGTCTGGACTACAAAGACCAGAACTCCTGGAAGTTCCAGGTCTTGTAAATAACAGGAGGTGGGGCGTGGGGAGGGAGGTAGAGGGAAGAGGTAAGAAATAAAAAGATAATAATCAAAGTAGGTTGGAAAAAAAAACAAGATTACTTTCTATGTGTTTTAGAAGGAGGAAGAGGTAAAATTGGGACACAGAAGTCCCACCAATCACACATCAGCTGAGGAAGTGATCGGCTGAAATAAACTCTACGTGTTTGTCGTTTCAGAAAAATATCAGTGGGAGTAATGTGATCTGTTGAAGCTTGGTTTGGTGATTGTAACAAAGAGATGGCAATCGTGTTTAAGCAACATAGAAAATCAGCCTTGAAATCAAGGAATGACTACATGTAAGGAAAAAGAGACTGATGTATGCAGAATAAAATCAGACTAGTGAGAACAAGCTTTCCTGTTGATTCGACTGATAAAGCTGAGTTTGACTCGGACCAAATTTAAAGCAGGGCTTATTTGTAAAATTGCCACAGCACAACAACATTTGTAACCTACAGGTTGTTTTTAACATAGAATTGAAATGGACCTTTTACACTGATGAGAACTGCATTTCTTCCTTTCAGACTTCTAATTTTGTTTTTTCTGTCATGTTTTTCTTTGAAAAAGCTGCTTTTTTTAATCATTGAGCTTTGAGAAATGAAAACAGTTCAGCTAACCCAATGTGACACCTAAAGCTTGGTGTCTTTACAGGGTCTTCTCTAAATCACACACAAGCTGATGGTTCCTAGTAGCCTTGCATGACAGTGACCCCCTGCAGCCTGTGTGGGATACGAGCTGAGGGGGGGGAGGAGTAGGTCACTCCAGTGACTGCAGTACGAACCTGTTGCCTTTGAGCATGGTTATAATCATTAGCTGAATGGCTAGTACATTGTTAGTGTAATAAGATCACTTCCACACATTTTGAGGGACAATGGTCACATTGTTGCTAGTTG